CTGTCCAGTCCGGGCCACAGTTACAGCTCGCCTCCCCACTGCCTGCTCCTTCTCCCTACACTGGTCCTACTGGAGGGCTTGCTGAGCATCGTGAGCCAGAGTCTCGTCCTGCGTCGCCTGTTCGTGCTGCTCGCACTAGTCGTCGTGCTCCATGTCAGCGTCCTCCTGCGGTCTCGGGCACGCACCAGATGGCACTGCGTCCTTCCACTGCTCCATTGCGCATCCCTTTGCGGTCTCCTCCTGAGTCCTCTCTTCCTGCTCTTACTGACCCGGAGTCTAACTCCCTTCGTGCTGCTAGTCCTACTGTCACGCGTCTCCTGGCTACTATTGTCACTGACCCTTCCTTTGAGTCCACTGCTGCGTCTGCCTTAGTTGCTGAGCTTGTCGACTTCTCTGCTCACTGCCGTCTAGACTACGCCGCGAGTCTTGTTGCTGGGTCTGAGTCTATCTGTCCTCCGTCCGTCGGGGGTGAGTGTGCTCTTGGCACGGACGTCCTTGAAGACAGGCAGGAGGAGTTCTAGTGCTTTGGTGCTGCTTTACCTCATCTCGTGTCCATGTTGCTTGCCCCTGAGGGAGACCCAGATGCACCAGACATCCCGACTCCGCGTTCTTACGCAGAGGCGATAGAGGGTCCCTACTCCTCTCAGTGGCAGTCAGCCATGGACGCAGAGATGGCTTTCTGGAAGTCCACACGCACCTACGTTGACGAGGTTCCCCCGCCTGGGGCGAACATCGTCAGTGGCATGTGGATTTACAGGGTGAAGCGGCCGCCGGGTTCTTCGCCTGTCTTCAAGGCGCGTTACGTTGCTCGAGGCTTCAGTCAGCGGCAGGGAGTTGACTACTTTCAGACCTTCTCTCCCACCCCGAAGATGATCACTCTTCGGGTGCTGCTGCACATAGCCGCTCAGCGCGACTACGAGCTTCACTCTCTTGACTTCAGCACTGATTTCCTACAGGGCAGCCTGCACGAGGAGATTTGGCTGCTGGCTCAGTGGCTACCGAAGCAAAGGCCCGGACTACAGGAGTAACTGGCTCCGCGGCTAAAAGTAGCGGCAGACGAGCAACTGACCCACAGGCGACTGGCGACTACCGGAGATTGTAGCCTCCGGACTGCTGGTGCTGCTGACGACAAGACTGCTCCCTCCACTTAACCTCCCCCAGCTGCCCAACGCCCCTCTCACACACCCCCTGCTCAAACCCTAGCCCTACACCCACAGCACCCCCTTAAACCCTAAACCCCAGACTCCCACACATCCACCCCCCTCAGCGATAGCTGCAGCAGTGGGAGACGAAGGAGGAGGAGGAGGAGGGGACGACACGCACAACCGACACCCCCACAACCATCACCCCCACACCCACCCCCCCACGGCTGCACCGGGTCCAGGAGCGGCTGTTGTAGGGGCCAGGGGCGGCTGCTGCTGGGGCGGCTGCTCCAGGAGCTGCTGCTGCTGGGGCGGCTGCTCCAAAGGCTGCTGCTGCTGGGGTGGCTGCTCCAGGGGCTGCTCCTGGGGCGGCTGCTCCAGGGGCTGCTGCTGCTAGGGCGGCTGCTCCAGGGGCTGCTGCTGCTAGGGCTGCTCCTGCTGGGGCGCCTGCTGCTGGGGCGGCTGCTCCAGGGGCTGCTGCTGCTGAGGCGGCTGCTCCAGGGGCTGCTGCTGCTGGGGCGGCTGCTCCAGGGGCTGCTGCTGCTGGGGCGGCTGCTCCAGGGGCTGCTGCTGCTGGGGCGGCTGCTCCAGGGGCTGCTGCTGCTGGGGCGGCTGCTCCAGGGGCTGCTGCTGCTGGGGCGGCTGCTCCAGGTGCTGCTGCTGCTGGGGCGGCTGCTCCAGGGGCTGCTGCTGCTGGGGCTGCTCCTGCTGGGGCGGCTGCTCCAGGGGCTGCTGCTGCTGGGGCGGCTGCTCTAGAGGCTGCTACTGCTAGGGCGGCTGCTCCAGGGGCTGTTGCTGCTAGGGCGGCTGCTCCAGGGGCTGCTGCTGCTGGGGCGGCTGCTCAAGGGGCTGCTGCTGCTGGGGCGGCTGCTCGAGGGGCTGCTGCTGCTGGGGTGGCTGCTCCAGGGGCTGCTGCTGCTGGGGCGGCTGCTCCAGGGGCTGCTCCTGCTGGGGCGGCTGCTCTAGGGGCTGCTGCTGCTGGGGCGGCTGCTCCAAGTGCTGCTGCTGCTGGGGCGGCTGCTCCAGGGGCTGCTGCTGCAGCGGAAATAAGGATGGAGGGGAGGGGAAGGGCGCGGCCCCCAGGGTGCCCTGACGAGCGACGTGCTAGGGAGCCGCGCAGGCCCCCGAAAGTGCCTCGACGGGCGACGGGAGGGGACCGCGCGCAGGCCCCTAAGGCACCGTGACGAGGCAACGGGAGGGGCCGGCTCGCGGGCCCCGAAAGTGCCGAGACGAGGCGACGGGAGGGGCCTGCGTGCGGGCCCCCAAAACGCCGCGACAAGGCGACGGTCGGGGCCAGTGCGCGGGCCCCCAAGACGCCGCGACGAGGTAGGAACCCGCCGCGCTCCTCGGGGCGCACGGCGGGCAGAAAACCGCCACGCGTTCCGAGCGCGTGGCGGGAAGAAAAGTAGAATGTCGCGCGCCACGGGGCGCGCCACACACATTAGGGCAGCGGAAGCAAGTGGGCCCACAGGCCAGGAGCTTTAAGCTCTGATAGCATGTTAAAAAACTAGCGAGAGTTTGGCTTAGGAGCCATAGTAGCTTAGGTGACTTGGTGAAGTTCGAGGGTGTAGGGTGTAAGGAAAATGTCGAGAGGATTGTGGAAGGAGAATGGTGAAACTAGAAAGGAGGGGGATACAAGTAGTAAGCCCTAAAAGGGTTATACTCACTTTTGAGTACCCCACTACAGACTAGACATGCATTATAATCTGACACTCCTGACACTGCTGGACTCGCCCACGTGAAGTCCGAGTTGCAGAAGAGACACACGTGCACAGACTTGGGTGAACTGCGCAGCTACCTTGGCTTGCAGATCACCCGGGACAGAGCACAGCGCACCATTACCCTGACTCAGACACACATGGTGCAGCAGGTCCTTCAGCGCTTCGACTTCATGTACTTGCTTGTTTACCTTTATATATAATCCTGCATGTGATCTGGCCTTGTGGCCTTGAACTTGTGCTCGAAATGTGTGGTGACGTTGTGATCCACCCTGAGCTTGCCTTGCTTGACTGGTCTTGTGACCCCTTGTTCTCCCCCACTTTGGCTATGGGGGTGTGTCAAACATTTATGCTATAGTCTTTCTAGGCTGTAGTGGGGTACACAGTATGGGGTACAGTTTTCTAGGGTTACATATTTGTACCTGTAAGGAAATTCCCTTTTCCTTACTTCGCGTCCCTGCTCAACGCGTACATCACTGTAGCACCTCAGTCAGCAACGTTACCACTCGCGACCATCGCATCATTCATCATCCCGCCCTTTTTCGCACATCGCATCCCGACCTCACGGCTCGGTTGGTAACCCGCGCTCCGGACCTACGCTTCGACACTTTCCCAACCTCAGTCCCAGGCTCGTCGCGCGACCATTACCGTTACCACTGTAGTTTCGCTATATAATGTTCGCTCATGCCTTCGCTCATTTGTATTCTTGCTTCGATAGTGCAATTCTCGTTCGTTCACTCAATTGCACTCGTAACAGTACCCAACTCATTTCCTAGTCCATCATTCCTCGTTATTTTTACACAAGCATGTTACAAAAACTCTGGAGAAACAAATGTAGCCTGACTATGTAAAAGCTGTGATCAAATTACGTCTTAATACAGTCCATATCATGCCTTGAATGCGTTATTTATTACATCAATATAATATTTTACTTCTTATGAAGTATTTATTGTCTATCATATGCAGAATTTTTATTGTTCAAATTGGTATTAAATTTCTTTTAATTTGATCTATCTCCATTTCTTAATATTCGGAAATTTCTTATTATTTCATATTATTATTCTTAATAATATTATCACTATGATAGATTTGCGGTTGACATTGTGTGAGTGTGTGTGTATTTCTTTTTTTTTGGGTTTGTTTGATAGTAATGCTACATGACAGTATTTTGTTTTTGTTTTTGCTACTGATGACAAGTTTGCATTTCGAGGTTTTACGGTCTGGCATTGTAAACGTCCGCATTATAAACAGAATTGCGCATTCTGTAGGTGTATACGTGGACAGTCAGTTGTCAAACTCATATGCTATAGTCTGTGTAGGCTGTAGTGGGGTAGACAATATGGGGTACAACACTTCAAGGTTTTCCTACTTGTACCCACCTGCTTGCTAGTTTATTCATTCCTCATTTCTTCACATGGTATAGAGCAGGTTCCCTCGTTGCCTACCCCGCGGCCATCGCGCCGCCCTTTCCCGGCCCCGATCCGCCGCCCTGCGGCCTCGTCGCCTACCCAGCGGCCCTCGCGCCGCCCTGCGGCCCTGACGCCGCCCTTACCGGCCCCGACGCCTACCTGCGGCCCCGACGCCTACCTGTGCGGCCCCGGCGCCTACCTGCTGGCCCCGCCACCTACCTGCGGCCCCGTCACCTACCAGCGGTCCCGCCACCTACCCGCGGCCCCGCCACCTACCTGTGCGGCCCAACCACCTACTTGCGGCCCCGCCACCTACCTTTGCGGCCCCGCCGCCTCCTCTCAACGGCCCCGCCGCCTCCTCCCAGCGGCCCCGAACGCCGCCCTCTCAGCGGCCTCGCCGAGCCGCCCAGCAGCCGAGCCGCCCAGCAGCCGAGCCGCCCAGCAGCCGAGCCGCCCAGCAGCCGAGCCGCCCAGCAGCCGAGCCGCCCAGCAGCCGAGCCGCCCAGCCACCGAGCCGCCCAGCAGCCGAGCCGCCGAGCCGCCGAGCCGCCGAGCAGCCGAGCCGCCCAGCAGTCGAGCCGCCAAGCCGCCCAACAGCAGAGCCGCCGAGCAGCCGAGCCGCCGAGCCGCCCTGCAGCCAAGCCGCCCGAGCCGCCCTGTCCGGTAAGAGCACCGCCTCTTTCACAGCACTGCCCTCACCCTACTGTTTGCGCTCCTAGTCTACTGCTCTCATGGCTACCCCTAGTGCCCTCGCTTTTGACGCTGAGGGTCGGGCCATTGACTTTGACGTCTGGGTAGATGACCTGCAGCTTTTCCTACAGTGCGATAGGGCAGACTGCCTCTCCCTCTTTGACCTCACTTCTGGTGCCTCTCCTGCCCCCGCTGCTGATGCTGACGCCAATGTTCGCTCACAGTGGGCCACGCACGATGCTGTTGCACGTCTTGCTGTGCGTCGCCACCTGCCTACCTCTGAGCGTGCGCACTTTAGCCAGTACAAGAGTGCTTAGACCCTGTACGACGCTGTAGTTGCACGCTACTCCTCCCCTGCCACTGCTGCACTGAGCCGCCTCATGCTACCGTACCTCTTCTCTGACCTTGCTGCCTTTCCCACAGTCGCTCACCTCATTACGCACCTCCGCACTAGTGACACTTGCTCCCGCGCTGCGCTTCCTGCTGAGTTTTGCGCCTAGAACCCCCCCCCCATGTACATCAGCCTCTACTACATAGTCACCCGTCTCCCTGACTCCCTTCGCGTAGTCAGGGACCACTTCCTCTCAGTTTGCCCCACCACTCTCACCGTTGACCTCCTCGAGAAGGCCCTCCTAGGAGCAGAAAAGAGCATAGTAGCTGTAAGAGCCTCTCGTGGTGACCCTCGCACCCCCATCTTTGAGGGGTGTTCCCCCTCCCCTCTTTTGCCCTCTGTTGCCTCTGCTGCTGCGGCCGACCTCGTTGGTCTGGAGTCGGTCGGTGCGGCGTCTACCCCTAGTGGGAAGCGTCGCTCTGGCAAGGGCAAGGGGGGCAGGGGCGCTGGAGGAGCTAGCGGTGGCGGTGGAGGCAGCGGTGGAGGCAGTGGAGGGGGTGGGGGTGGTGGTGGGAGTGGTGGCGGGGGTGGAGGTGTCGGCGGCGGCAGTGGATGTCAAACATTATATATGTTGTTGTAGTTGTTTAGGCTACAGTGGGTTAGCCTATAGGGGGTACACATTCCTAGGTTTTGATACTTGTACTCATTTCACTCTTAGTTCATTCATTTTCTTGTTCAACATGGTATAGAGCAGGTCTCCACCTCCCCTCGTTCTCTACGAACTTGGTGGCAGGTTGTGCACTCCAGGACGCGGGTGTTCACCAGTTCACCCCTGCCTACGAGCGTGTCACACACTGCACGTGTGCCCGTACAGGCCGCCACTTGGCTACCTTCACCCGGCAGCCGGGGTCGGATCTATACACTCTGACTACTGCCCCCCCTCAGGTCGCTGCGTCTGCGTCTGCGTCCGCGTCAGGTCAGCTGTCCGCCCCCTGCTCGTGTCGCTCTCTAGCGCACGAGACTGTCCTCTGGCACCACCGACTGGGCCACCCGTCTGTGCAGCGCCTTCGGGCCATGCACTCCCGGTACCTTGTCTCTGGTCTTCCCAGAGTCCTCCCTCCCCTCCCACCCTCGCCTGCTCCTCCCTGTCTTCCCTGTGTCGAGGGGCGGCAGCGCGCCGCTCCTCACTCCTCCTCGTTTCCCCCGACGACTGCTCCTTTGCAGACGCTCCACATGGACGTGTGGGGCCCAGCCCGCGTCCGTGGTCACGGTCAGGAGAGGTACTTCCTGATCGTTGTTGACGACTACTCGCGCTACACCACGGTCTTCCCCTTGCGAGCCAAGGGTGAGGTCCCTGATGTTTTGATCCCTTGGATCCGCAGAGCTCGTCTCCAGCTCAGCGAGCGTTTCCGCTCGGACTTTCCTGTCCTGCGCTTGCACTCTGAGAGAGGTGGTGAGTTCTCCTCCGACCTCTTGGCAGCCTACTGTGTTGAGCACGGCATTGAGCAGTCGTTCACGCTTCCGGCCTCTCCACAGCAGAATGGGGTTGCGGAGCGCCGCATTGGCCTGGTCATGGAAGTCGCTCGTACCTCCTTGATCCATGCGGCTGCCCCCCACTTTCTGTGGCCGTTTGCGGTCCGGTACGCTGCGCATCAGCTCAACCTCTGGCCCCGTGTCTCCTTGCCGGAGACCTCGCCCACACTGCTGTGGACGGGGGAGGTTGGCGATGCGTCGCGTTTCCGGGTCTGGGGATCTCGAGCCTTTGTCCGCGATTCGTCTGCGGACAAGCTCTCCTCTCGTGCTTTTCCCTGCGTCTTCCTCGGCTTTGTTCCGGACGCGCCTGGTTGGCCGTTTTACCACGCCACCTCGCGCCGGGTCTTGCCCTCTCAGGACGTCACTTTTGACGAGTCTGTCCCCTACTACCGCCTCTTTCCCTACCGCACTGCCCCGCTCCCACCCCCGCCTCTCTTCCTCGCGCCAGGTGCTGCTGTCGTAGACCCCATCCCCCCTCAGGGTGCCGCTCCCTCACGTGTGTCTCAGGTAGACCCGGTCGAGCCTGTTGAGGTTGCTGTCGACTCTCGTCCTGCTGGGGGTGCTGAGCCTGAGGGTGCGGAGACTGGGGGTGCTGAGCCTGGGGGTGCTGACTCTGGGGGTGCTCAGCCTGGGGGTGCGGACTCTGGGGGTGATGAGCCTGGGGGTGCGGACACTGGGGGTACTGAGCCTGGGGGTGCTGAGGCTGGGGGTGCGGTGACTGGGGGTGCTGAGCCTTGCGGTGCTGGGCCTGAGGGTGCTACACCTGGAGGCGACCTCTCCTCGGAGCAGTTGCGTGAGTGGTACTTACAGTACTGCAGCCTCCGGGGTGTTACCTCTGGGACCAGGCGCACTACAGGGACTAGGGCTGGTACTTCTCCTCCTAGTCAGGAGCTCCCCTCTCGTGAGCGGATCCGTGAGTGGTACGAGCGCCGTTGCACACTTCGGAGTGGTGCGCCTCGTCTCACGGACCCGGCTGCCCCTGGTGCTACGGATCCTGGCGTTGGAGCTGCTGCTGGTGCTGCGGACCCGAGGGTTGGAGGTGCTGCTGGTGCTGAGGACCCGGGCGTTGGGGCTGAGGCTGGTGCTGCGGACCCTGGCGTTGGAGCTGCGACTGGTGCTGTGGACCCTGGTGTCGGAGTCCCTGCTGGTGCTGAGGACCCGGGCGTTGGAGCTACGGCAGGTGCTGTGGACCCTGGTGTTGGAGCCTCTGCTGGTGCTGAGGACTCGGGCGTTGGTGCTGAGGCTAGTTCTGAGGACCTGGGCGTTGGAGCTGCTGCTGGTTCTGGTACTACCGCTGGGGGTACAGGTGCTGTCCCTGCTGTGTCTGGAGTCGCCGCGCGCCCTCAGCCGTACTTCGTTCCGCTCCTTCAGTAGGTTCTTGGTCTCTCGCCTCCTCCTGGTCCTCCTCCCTTAGCGTATTCACAGCCTGTCCCCTCACAGTTACAGTTGCAGCCGGCCTCCCCACTACCTGCTCCTTCTCCTTACACTGGTCCTACTTGCGGTCTTACTGAGCGTCGGGAGTCTGCGTCTCGTCCTGCGTCGCCTGTCCGTCCTGCTAGCGCTAGTGCTCGTAGTTCGCGCCAGCGTCCTCCCCCTGCCCCTGGCACGCACCGGATGTCTCTACGTCCGTCTACTGCTCCTCTGCGTGCCCCTTTGCCTTCTCCTCCTGCGTCCTCTCTTCCTGCTCTCGCCGACCCTGAGTCGGACTCTCTTCGTACTGCCAGTCCTACTGTCACGCGTCTCCTTGCTACTGTTGTCACTGACCCTTCTTTTGAGTCTACTGCTGCGTCTGCTCTCGTTACTGAGCTCGTCGACTTTGCTGCTCGCTGTCGCTTAGACTACGCTGCTAGTCTTATCGCTGAGTCTGAGTCTGTCTGTCCTCCGTCCGTCGGGGGTGAGTGTGCCCTTGGCACGGACGTCCTTGAGGACAGGCAGGAGGAGTTCCAGTGTCCTAGAGTCGAGTGGCCCGTACCCAGAGCTTGTTGGCTGTCTCATGTACCTGATGACCTGCACACGACGTGACCTTGCATACCCTCTTAGCATTCTTGCACGCTATGTTGCTCCTGGGAGACACCGACCAGAGCACATGGCTGCAGCGAAGAGGGTGTTGCGCTACTTGTGCAGTACGTCGGGCATGGGGCTAGTGCTTGGAGGGCGGAGTCCAGTGGTCCTCACTGGACACGCAGACGCTTCTTGGGCTGACGACCAGGCTACGCAGCGGTCGTCACAGGGTTACACCTTCAGCCTTGGTTCCAACTCTGTTTTGTGGCGGGCTACTCGCTCGTCTTCTGTTCTTGGCTCCAGTTGTGAGGCTGAGATCTACGCAGGGGCCATGGCTGCTCAGGAGCTTCGCTGGCTCACCTACCTGCTGACCGACCTTGGAGAGCCGCCTCGTTCTCCTCCAGTCCTGTATGTCGACAACAAGGCCATGCTGGCCTTGTGTCGGGAGCAGAGACTGGAGCACAGAACAAAGCACATTGCTCTCCGCTACTTCCTTGCTCGTGAGCTACAGCAGCGTGGTCAGTTGCGACTTGCGTACGTGGCCTCTGAGGCCAACACTGTTGATGTCTTCACCAAGGCACTTCCGCCTTGTGATCATTAGCGCTGCTGTACCCAGCTGGGTCTTGTGTCTGTCTTGCCTCACTTGCTCTCCTCTTTGTACTGTTACATATATATATCACTGCTCTTGCTTGTTTAGTCTTATATATATATCTGTACTCCTGCATGTGAACTGGCCTTGTGGCCTTGCACTTGTGCTTGGATTGTGTGGTGACGTTGTGATCCACCCTGAGCTTGCTTTGTTTTGCTTTACTTGACTGGTCTTGTGACCCCTAGTTCTCCCCCACTTCGCCTATGGGGGTGTGTCAAACATTATATATGTTGTTGTAGTTGTTTAGGCTACATTGGGTTAGCCTATAGGGGGTACACATTCCTAGGTTTTGATACTTGTACTCATTTCACTCTTAGTTCATTCATTTTCTTGTTCAACAGTGGAGGCGGAGGCGGCGGCGGCGGTGGCGGTGGGAGCGGAGGTGGTGGAGGTGGCGGAGGTGGAGGAGGCGGTGGAGGAGGAGGAGGAGGAGGAGGAGGTCGTGGCTCTTTGGAGAGGAGTGGCTCCGGTGGTTGTCAGCGCCAGTAGCAGCAGCGCAGTCGGAAGACCCTGTCCCCTCAGCAGCTCCGTGAATGGTACGTTGCACGCCAGCGGGGTGGGGGTACTGGTCCGTGCACCTACGTCCTGCGCACCGGCGATCGTGCGTGTGAGCAATGTGGGGGTGCGCACCTCACCCAGCGCTGCTTTGGCCGCCTGACGGACGCTTAGCGTCACCAGTTCCCTGAGGCCACTGAGATCCCTCGCTGGGGCGAGCTGTCTAGGGCAGGGGTAGCTATCTTTGACCTTCACTTTGATGCTATTCTTGCTGCTATGTATACTGTGTCTATTAGTGAGGAGGGTGACTGTTACCGGTGTTTCCCGCCCGACCCGGGCATTGAGACTGCTGCTCTAGGTGCTGGTGAGGCCGCTGCTCTTGGTGCTAGCGAGGCTGCTACTCTAGGTGCTAGTGCGTCTGCTTCCTCCGGTACTGGTGAGTCTGCGCTCTCAGGTACTGCGTCGGCTTCGGCCTCCCACACCTTCACACTTGATTCGGGGGCTTCTCGCTCCTTCTTTCGAGACCGCACCACACTCACGCCGCTTGGTCGGCCAGTTGCAGTCTCCCTGGCAGACCCCTCTGGGGGTCCTGTCCTTGCTCACTTCTCCACTATCCTCCCTTGTCCGGCGGCCCCCTCTGGCACCTTGTCAGGTCTTTACCTCTCCTCGTTCTCTACGAACTTGGTGAGTGGTGCTGACCTACAGGATGCGGGGGTTCACCAGTTCACTACTGCGAATCAGCGGGTGACCCACTGCACGGACGCTCGGACAGGCCGACACCTGGCCACGTTTACACGTCGGCCGAGGTCGAGCCTGTACACCCTGACCACTGCGTCTCCTCCAGTCCCTGCGTCTGGTCAGGTAGCTGCGTCGAGTCAGGTGTTAGCTGCAGCGTCCAGGTCTGGTCCTGAATCTACCCCCTGCTCGTGTCGCCTCCTGTCTCACGAGACTCTCCTATGGCA